AGGACACACAGGGGTCACATTTGAGTGTCCTCTCTCACTTCTCATTTGGCGGTGGTTTGGCCACAATCTAAACACACAGAATCAGTCCCAGGGCCCTCGTGAAACCAGCTCTTATCTGCTCAATGAAGATCATGACAGCAGCACAGCTGATGTAAAAGGCCCTGGATTATTCACCATCTTTCCAAAAACAGTTGTTCTAAGTCAGATAAACAAGTTAGCAGAGTTCAACACTCTTTGTTGATTCTGGTTTTCTTAATATTACTTGAGGGTGTCTGAGCTGTTTATGTTTCTGTGAAGAAAATCTCGAGAGGCTTGTAGGCTGCACAAAGCCAGCCTTCAAGCCAGAAAGCATAACATGTTGCTTTGCACCAAACACCCATACAGTGACATTAAGATGCTGAAGCCATTACTTGTTTACACAAGTTTCTCCTTTCAGAAGCATTTATCAAACAATGAGCACAATGTCATCTGTGAGTGGGCCAGAGCCATGAGGCCAGGCTCTTGGGTGGATGTTTACATCTGTAGGAGGAAGCATTGTTTTAACCTACCAGCCTATTTGCATTTTTTGGGCTTTTGGTAAAACTAAAGTTATTGTTATAGGAAACTCCAACCCGACTAGACCTGCACCTAACTTTCTGTCGAACTCAGAAGTGTCTCTTGGAGCTCACTGGGTGTTTATTAAGTCTAAGTCAGCTAATGGCCTGGTCAATGTGTCGGGACGCAGGCGTGATCGATGTCCCCTCTGAACTGATGTGCTCTGCCAGCCAGGACACTGACCCACACAGCAATGTTGATGAAGTCCTCCATGTACCTTCTATTTGTAGTGAAGAGAGACACATGTCCATATTCACAAACAGTTTCCCTTGTGCTCCCAAGTGCTTTTATCATTTTCAAATATACAAAATGGATGTATCTATGGTCTGGTTTTTTGAACTATTATTATTTTTTCTTATTACAAAACTCCTACACAAAACAAATAATTAAATCTTTGAACATGAACCTAAACTTTGAATTTTTATTAATTTCCAAAGAAATTAAGTTATCTTTCGTCTGTCCTTCTGCTCTGCATGCAACAGAGGCAACAACTCAATTAAGCAGACACCCCCAGTCATCACCAGCAGGCTGCCTCAGAATATTTCCAACAATGTTTCATTTAATCTGGAGGATTTGGACGTTTAGCCCCCTTCGGACAACAGGACAAGAGACTGACTGAAGGCAATGCAGCTCAGGAGGGGGTTTAAGAGAAGTGAGAGCCACAGCATTACTGGCCTATAGTGAATAATCAGTACAAACAATGTTACCCAAAAAAAGATGCATGAAAAAGCATGCACGTTGCCGTAACAAACATTTAAATACAAGACATAGTTCACAGTATACATGCCTTGAGCCTTGAGATTCATTCATTCATGTTCAACCATTAGTCCATTTCTGGGTCGGGGGGGGGGGGGGTGTTGATGAGAGCTGCCACCCAATTCTCAAAGCACCAGTCCCTCACTGATCCTCTGCAGGTGGTGGGTCCACAGGAAGATGGCTGCTACATCAGTGGAGCCACAGCCTTGGTGTTTCAGCGGGAGTTTCAGACAATGTCGGGTTAAGTGTCTTGCCAATGGACACATTGACAGCAGACATTAGTGGGAGCAGTTGAAATAGGTCCCGTGATGGGCTCGAACCCATGACATTCCGGCCCAAAGGCCAATGCTCTACCAATTGAGCTACTATCGCCCCATGTTGGTTCTAATGGCAACAAAACAGAACACATAAAATATATGTCCTTGGTTCGTGTATATTAGTGGGTTCTGCTTGTTTCAATAAACATTGTCTTCATTTGTAAGTAAGTAAGAAAGTAAGTAAGTAATGTTTATTTATATAGTGCATTTTTACAGACCAAGGTCAACCAAAGCGCTATGTAGTGTTTCAACCCTACTCAGCTTGGGTGCAAAGGAAGTAACAATTAAAACCAAGGTGTTGAAATGGTAAATAAAATCATAAATTATTCAGATGGCAAAATAGGTAAAATGGTGATCAAATATTTACAAACACACAGAGTGAATAATTAACCCTTTAAGGATCACCTAATTTCGCCTGTTCCTTTTCAAATTATGATACCCAAATGGAAATGCTTGTTGTGTGGACATCTTGTGTCTGATGTTGTGTTATGAGGCCTCATTTGAAAGCTAATACCTTCTAGTTTCTGGAAATGTATGTTACAGTTTGTTAGGAAGGACACAGTCTGCACTACACCTTCTCAAACATGAGTCAAAGTTAGTTTTTTTTGTCAAAAAAAAAGGGGAAAATTCAAAAGGTTTTCTTGAATACATACTTTATGGTATGATATTCAAACTCACCAGAGCAGATGTTTGTGGTGTTGGCAACACCTGAATGAAATTTTAGACCTTTAGGTGGAACCATTTTGATGCTGGGGGCTTTTTTGCAACTAATGGGCACATTCGGCACAAGTGGTCCATTTTTGTGCCAACTGTGCCAAAGTGTTTTACATGCAAATTATCAATGTTTTTACACCAAAAATCCAATTATATCACTTTTTGGCTATTACTCTTGCTATAAATAGCATTTTTTCCAGATATTGAAATTTTTGCAGAAAAGCTCTTATTTATATAGTTATAGCGCGTGTTCTCCGTGAAAAAAGCTCCGTCTTCCTCTTTACGCATTCAAATATGACTGGAACAGTGGGAGGAAGCTAGAAGTCCGACACATCGCCTGAAACCTGAGATTATTGGCTACAAGATGGTTTTATTGACATCCAAATCGTCCAATGGTAGTCAAGATAATGCTGTCGTGACCATAGACTGTATATATTAATGGACAGAGTCACGCCTATCTCCGCCGTTCATAGGAGTTGGCCATGAAAAGTGCTTTCATGGAGCAATCCAAGATGGCCGCGAGTGGTCCCGCCCACAAGGAAATTGTGAAAAAACGCATCTGCGCATGCGTCAGCCGGTGCAGCTCCATTCATTTGAACGAGAGACTTCAAAAATTCCCCGCGAGTAAACTAGAGTGGACCAAAAAAAATCACCCCCCTCAGCATTGACACACATGTGGAACAGAGCTTTGGGCCGAGAGCCAACTTTTGGTCCATCCTGTAAAGACGTTTTTGAGAGGTCTACTAACGCTACATGTTAGCATTGGCTAATTCTACTTCTGGGTCCACCCCCAACGGCCCGGGGTGGTATTGCAAGCATGTCAGCGCACGTCATTTTGGCCACTTTTGAGCTGGGACCCTCCCCCACTGGTTGTGACGCACAGATATCTATATGACTGGAGCGCTAAAGTTAGGTGCGCTTGTTTTACTCAACTTACTCTACCTTCCAAACCATAGCACTGAAAAGTCCAGGAATGGGCTTGTTTTGAAGGGGAGGCTTAGGGGAAGACGAACATACCCAGTGACGCTAGGTAAATAGCAACATGCCTACTTCATACAGTGCGCAAAGAAAAGGTTTTGTTTTTGTTTGTGCAACTTTCAATACTCAAATATGTTGTTACAAGTGGATATCTACTATAAGGATGACTTTGAAGAAAAAACAACTGGATATAATTATTCTCTAGACCCTAACGAACAAAAAGAATGCAAACATGTGTGGATTAGACGTGATTTGACCCAGAATATTAGAATGAAAATTTTAATTTATATATATATATACAGTTTGACTACTTATTCTTACTTTTTGTTAAATTTTGTGTTTATTTGAACATAATACGTGTTTAGAGGTGGGAATAAGCTTTCAAAAGAGATATAGCTTGACTATATTGACACAAGTGAATTCTAATACTGATGCTGTTAAATGAAAAATAACTGAATCCTCCCTGTACAGGGAGGGTGATTCTTAAGGTTTGTAAGCCAAACTAAACAGTAGCTCAGTTGGTAGAGCATTGGCCTTTGAGCTAGAAGGTCATGGGTTCTCAAGACTTTCACCATCAACTCTCACTGATTTCTGCTGTCGATGTGTCCTTGACAAGACACTTAACTTCTGGGAACACCAGCCACAGTGGGGCGGCTGCCGCTGTAAAGTGCCAAACTGCCGTTGTGTCCTTAGGCAAGACACTTCACCTCCATTGCCTAGAATGAGTCTGGTGGGTGTGTGAATGGTTGGTGGTGGTCAGAGGGGCCGATGGCACATACTGGTTGCCTCGCTTCTGTCAGTGTCTCAGTTAGAGACAAACTAAGTGGACAAACGAAGCCCAGGACTCACAGTCGCGGTCTTCTGTCTGATTCCTTTGCGTCACAGCGTCACCAAAAGGCCTCCAGAGAACCACACGCTAATGGAGGAGGTGAGGATGGACTCGATGATGGCCGTGTAGAACTGCACCAACATCTGAGCTGCTGCAGGAAGTACATCCTCTGCTGGGCTTTGATGAGGGAGCTGATGGTCGGCCCCCAGCTGACTTCCAGAGACGCCCTGGGAGAAACACAAGTGATCCCCAATACAGGGAATTACAGGCCATAAAGCACATCTAACTTCTTGATGAATGTGTTTTTATTTAGGGTTTTAACTTTTTATATTCATTGGGTAATTCAGTAATATGTATAAGGTACATTAGCTGTGAAAAGGCTTTAAATCCCAGGGTAAATGTGAAAATGAACACTCTTGTAGACCCTGCTTATGTCTGGAGTTACCCCTGAATATAAGCACAATACAATCAACCTTTCATTCTTACTTTGCGTTTTGCCTACAACATGCTTCATATCCAACAAATACAATATTATAATTTAGGGACATGTCCATTGACTCTCTTATCACAACCCAAAGTGAAATGTACCAAGCTTATTGTCTCCTCAAATACTCTTAAACTTAACAGTCTACAAAAAAAGAGTCATGTGAGAATGAGGCAGAAAGCCTTTTGCCAAATATGCCTTTCACTGTATTAGTAATAGACTGCTGCTAAGCTACTGTTTATTGCACAGAACCAATAGATAAAGATAACGTTGTAAAAGTTGAGATTGTTGGAGTAATGTAACTGTCCTGACCCTCTTTTCACCTCTCTCACAGATCTTCAGTGTTCATTTTGGGAGAGGACTTAGCACATCTGGCGGTGACGGGGGAGTTACGCCTGTGGAACTGATGCCCCCGATCAGCGATGGGCTGGAAAAGCATAAAGACGGAGCAGCCAGGGGCGCTGATGGTGGTGATGGGGTTCTGCTGGACGAGCAGAGGCGGGGGTGAGATCCGAAATGCTGAGACGGCACTTTCACCTTACATGGGGGGAGAGGGACAGGGTTTGAGCAGAGGGAGTAGGGAGGCAAATGGAGGGTAGTAAGGATGGAGGGGTCTCATTTATGATTAAAAGATAGTCCTGATAACCCCTTGAGCCCAGCCCATAAGTCTCTGCTTAAATGAGCTCTTAATAGCATGTAGGAGGGAAACCTGGTTCTGCTGCCATTAAACATAATCTTTGAATCTTTAAGGAAGAAATTGGTATGTGCACACCTGGAGAGCACAGGCCCTGTCACAATGCGGATTTATATATGGCCCTAAACAAATCTCAAGTGAATTGAGACACGTAGGCCCTATATGCACACAAAGTCAAATTCAGGCATATACGCAAAGATACTTTTATCAATTAAGGGGGTCTGAAATCTCACATATTTGAAACCAGGTTATAGAGTGGAATGATCTCAAAACTCTGTAACCCGCCTGGTTAAAAGGGTTTATTATAATTTATGTAGAAAAGTTTATTTTACATTTTTATTTTGAAAACCGGAAGTTTTTTTTTGCCGTAAACCGGAAGTAGTATGCAAAACCGCAGTTAGCTTTATGGCGCTCACTCGACGAACTGCTCTACTTTCCCCTCTTGCATGTTGGTTGATAAAAACACATCAGTGAAGGAATGAAAACCGAATCAGGATGTAATTGAAAAGTATTCATTGTGAAGTAAATGTTCTAATGTGGTTATAACTCCGTTTAGAGGTTGGAGAGAACCGTTGAGGAAGCACTTTTATTTGTCCTGAATCTCCCGAAGTGAAACTTGGTAAGCTAGCATCCACCTGTTCACCATAGATTTTTATATGCACAGACGCCATTTTGTGGTCATGCTAGCGTATTTCTTTCGTTACTTTTTCACATTTTAAGTTTATTTTGAAGTCATAAGAGACATTTAAGGTATTTTAATTTGTGAATTCATGGTGTTAAACACTGTGTCATTGAAATAAGTGCAATATGAATGTGTTACACTAAAAAACCAAGTCACACTCACTGAACGTGACTGTGGGTCAGATAAATAAGCTATTTTATTTTACCACAATGCATTTAAGTCATTTAAATGGACACAAGCTGTTATTTTGTTATTAAAACCGATGTATTTCATGTATTTTATTTGAGTTAAAAAAATCCTATGTTAAAAAGGGTTCGGGTGATACAATATATGGTCTATACATTATACTATTCAAGTTAGTGTATTTTCCATAAATAAGTTTATTCCATTGGTAAAATGTGGTATTACAGTTCATAGAGATATCCAGATTTGTTAAAATGTTATATTTTGACTAAATACTTTTAATTACATGTAACTAAGTTACCCATCTGTAACTTGATTTTATTTTTGAAATATACTTTTGTTGTACAAACTTTATTTTTTTTAAAGAACCAAATTGCAATTGCATAAAAAGAGAATGTACTATAAAACCTGTTTTGTAAATACAGGTAGGTCTTTTTGTGAGGCCGTGATACTGAGAGATCCAGCCTTGGAGTACAACGAGGTTGAGGGATCGAATCATCGATGGCGAGCCTCCCAGTCGAATTCTGAGTCCTACCACCGTTCTGCAGATGCTGTGGTAGGATTTGTGTCAGTCCCACTGACGGACACCAACGAGAGTCTTCAACAGTCAACGAGTACCTACATTCCCTGACTTGACTATTTCCCCTGACTATATTGACTTGAACATTGAACACAAATTCCGGGAAGAACATTTTTCCTAAAGTACAATTTTATTTTTAGTTGGGCCCATAGATTTTGTTAAAAATGTATGTGCATATTTTCATTTTCTTAACTAAAAGTCACATTTGATTTAACTATTTGTGTGCGGTGTTTATTGCTATCCTCAGCTCCTACGAACCTAGAGGTCCAACGTGTACATACCTTGAAGTGGGTTACACGGTAAAAAATTGGCGAGCCAGCCAGGAGCTTTGTATAGCAAATAACGTTACTCTTTACGTGTTAAAGGTGTCAACCTTTTAAGTTTCATCAAAATGGATGTAATAGAAAAAGAAAATGTGAAGGTTCCCAATGCTGTCATTGTATCAGGGTTTGACCAATACTAATGTCGATGAAGACATTACAGACTTTCTAAAGCAATATGGAGCAATTGGCAGATTGATCAAAGTTTCAGATGCTAATTCTGATTTTTTTGGTATGGTCATTGTAGGGGGGGGAGTATATTTCTGGTGCTGCAGTGGAGACACTTTGATCGAAAGATTTATGATATAGTGTTGTCTCCACATTGAAGCGTTAGACTAGTGTATACTTATCAAAAAAAGGTACGATCTACACCGATCATTCATGTCAGAGTCCAAAAACATTGCAAACTCAGTGGAAAACCTTTTTGAGACCTGTTGCGCGACGAACTAACTAGAATTACGGTCTAGTACCAAAACCCCTTGGGCGAAGCGTACATGCTAGGGCACAAATAGTAGCACTTCTGTAGCTGATCAGGGTCCTGTTTCCCTGATGCACTAAACAGATTTGAGATTAATGACCAAAACAACCTAATGATCCCAAACACAACTCAGAACCATGTGCCGACTATGCAACCTTAAGAGCATCAGCCATCTTTTCCCTACTCTGAACTGCTTAATTCTGAAGTTCAGGGTGAGTTGTTGAACACATTGTCACAGTTAGACTCTCTTCCAACGATACATGCCCAGTTGACTCAGGACCCTTTTTGGGCAGAGTCCTTGCCCAAATTTTGGGGGTGGATTTGATACCTTGGCAGGAGCAATATGTGAATGCACTTAGCTGTCCTTACTCTCCTAGTGGCCAGCTTGTTAGGCGCATCGATGATAGTTTATTGCCACCTGCCTCATTGTGGTAAGTCATTAGGTCCCATGCTAATCCAAAAGCTTTTTCTAGACTGCTTGACTCGGGCTACGCCACAGTGGTAAGGGTGGCGAAGGATGAGCTATTCGCCAGTTTTCTAAATGTCAATCAAAACTTGGCGAGTAACCTTCCAATATCTTCAAGATTGCAGACACTGTTGATTCGGGTTGTGGAAAATAAAACCATTTCACCAAGATAGATTCAGAAAGCAGCTCCTAAAACAGTTCTGTAGCGGCATGCTGGAACAATGCACAGATCAATTCCTTTCACTTGGCAAAGAAAATTACCCGCTACTTTTCAGGTTTTTGCTCCTTTAAGAACAGAGGAGGAAACAAAGCAAAAGCAAACAGGATGAACAACATTAGGGTTTCACAAACCAAAAGGACAAGGCAGCGACACACTGATGAGCCTATTTTGCAAACCATTTTTGAAACGGAACGTCCTTCTCAAACCGCCCATCAGTTGTGAGAGCAGATTCAAAAGCAAATTGTCAACTAGCAGCGCAAATAGTTGCTCTTCAACTCCAAAAAAGATTCTTCCACATTTTCTTAAAAACCTACAAAGAAAAAGCAGAAGAAAGGAGAAACCAAAAGAGGAACACCGTTGCTTAAAAAAAATTACATCAACACCTTCCTCAGAAACGCAGCTCAAAAGTAAAAAAAGACCAAAACGTGGTATGTTTTCGTTGATGGGGAGGACGGGCATATTGCACGAGCTGTAAATATCCTCCAAATCCCACTCTTGTGTCCGCAAAGAGAACCTGCTAAAGGGCAGACAACAAGTTGGGAAAAAGAAAATCCAATCTGGAACAAATTTAAAAGACCAATGTATCTATTGAGGGACAAATAGGCACAAAAAACAATGATGTCCACAACTGAACCAAGAACAAAACCAAACGCTAAAATCAAAGAACACAGAGTAACACAAGTAAAAGAACTTCCAAAAGCCTAGTTGGGAGTAAGAGCACAGCAAATGTTAAAGTAATGGGCTGGAGTGTAATGCATGTTGATACAGGTTCTAGGTAACTACTGATGTACAGTCATTTTCTGACCAGAGTTACCTGTAAAGAATATGTCATGTCTCCCCTGTTGCTGACCTATTAGAGATTGAAGGGGGCAAATGGCAGTCAGTGGCATACATGGCATGTTAAATTAGATCCAGTGTCCCAAAAAAGAGTTCATTGCCATTCAGCTGAGATCGAGACTTTGTCTTTTAGAGTGCAGACGTTGTTCCAATAGTCTCACTCATTGTTAATCGGAACTAAGACTTGACCATCTCTACGGATAGTTCTGTGATGATAAGGCAGTACTGCCAGTCCCGTTATTGTGGCTACCACCAAGTCTTAAGAACTCTTTAGCTTAGGCCAAAACATGTTTCCGATGGCAATTTAGGTCTTGTAAATCTGAAAAAATTTGAACAAGCGTTAATCCTGTGGTCGAAAGTTGCGCTCGAAGGGATATGCAAGCATTGACAATGTAACAAATGATAATCTGTGCTTCTTGAACAACCTACAGTGTTTCTTTGCTGGTGGAATTTTTGGATGCTGCTGTCTCATTAATTTCCAAGAGATTCTTTCAAAGTACTGTAGTTTGAGGAAGAGGGACTGATCGTGACATCTCCTTACCGGTTTTTAGGTGTTGGTCATTGGCGAATTAGCTAGCGCTATTAAAGAAAGGTTTAAAGCAACTCCAAACACAGCAAGGTTGTAGCAGTCAAACAGGCAGCCCACTAACCAGCAGACGCAAGCTAGTTCAAAACTGTCATTTGAATTTGGTGAGTTGTTCCGAAGAATGGGAAAGTCCACTGACAGAAAAGTTTTAACAGTTTTTCGGACATCTTTTCTCATCACGATCTAGATTTCGGGCTGAACAAAAGTCAAACATACATACAATTAAAGGATGAGACGCCTTTCCAAAACAACGGCCCACGGTCGATACATCCACAGGACTAAGGAGCCGTGAGACGTCATTTGCAGACTTCCTTGAGGCGGATATTAGGGAATCCCAATCTCCCTCTTTGCACGCATAGTCGTTGTGAAAAAGAAAAATGGAGGGACGTCGTTGTGTGTGGACTATCGGGTTTAAACATCAGACAATAAGGATGCATATGCATACCCACCCTGAGGAGTCATTTTCTGCCCCTCAATGGATCCCAAATGGTTTACAGGTCATGGCTTTGAAAAGTGGATATTTCAGATTGAAATGACGGAAGTGACAAGGAAAAAAAAAAACCACAGCATGCGTATGCCCCTTGGCTTTTGGGAAAGTGGTATTAGAATGCACAAGGAATTCACCAAAGCGTCCCAGACTTTCCAGCGTTAAATGGAAAGAGATGGGGAATCAACTTGCGTGAGGTTTTGTGTTCCTTGAAGATTAATTGTATTTTCAAAACACTCGAAGAACATGAAACCGTCTGCCCAATGTGTTTACAATCGCTTGCGTGAATGGCTTGAAGTTGTACTGACAAGTCCGCTTTTTCAAACATTTCAGTTCGCTATTTAGGCCACATTGTCTCTCGACGTGGTGTTGAGACCGATGATCCCCAAAGGACGAAGCATTAAAGACTGGCAAGACCGGCAGCGACTTTAAAAGACCCTTTAGGTCTTTTTGCGGTATTCAGGGAATTATGTAGGTTTGTAGAGGGGTATCTAAGATTGTAAAACCCTTAAACAAATGACGGCTGGGTACACCTGTACGGAAAATGGGTTTAAAATCACCATTTGGCTGCAAAGTACTTCAACCCTAAAAAACCGTTCCGTGGGTTGGGAAGGTGGATAAAAGAGTGCAAACAGCTTTTGAAAGGAATATTGAAAAGTAGAGTACCCGCACCCGTTTTAGGGTTTGCAAATCCAGATTGCCCTTCGTTGTCACACTGAGTTGGTTACAACAGGCCTTGGTGCTGGCTTTATACCAGATTAAGAAGTCAGTCAGGTCATAGCGTTGCAGGCCGCGGTCTCTTCAGTGGTGAAGCCCGTTTTTTTATCAGCATAAGTTGGAATTTTTAGCTCTCACGTGGGCTAAATCACGGAGAAGAAATTCCAGATAACTTATAATATGGCAAATGTTTTCACTGTGAATACCGAATAATCTTGCGTACGTCCTAACCAAAGCCCAAAATAGACGCAACTAGTTATCGTGAGGTTAGCAGTTTGTTTACGTTCAGTTTTGATATCAATTATCGTGCAGGGAAGCAAATCAAGATGCAGATGGGTTTGTTCAAGGAGGGGCCTCATTGTGTTTTGAGCTTTTGAGTGGACAGTGCATTCTATGAAGAGATTTCAATAGATACAATGAGTTTGACCTCACCCCTCTTGCACCTGTAAAGTCATCTCATGCAGAATGTGAACTTCATCATGCACCGTCAAATGTACATTGAATATGGCAGTTCAATCAGATGCCATTCCATCAGCATTTGAGCATGATGATGATGTGGAAACACTTAGTGGTCTTCGCAGTTTAAGTACAGTGAAGCGAGCTTGCTCATGGCAGAGGCGGATGTCTATCAGTGTAATATAACAATGTATGAGAGGGGAGCACCTGTCCTTCCATGTAAAAACCCGAACTCAACTCGTGCCAAAGAAATGAGCCGCTGTTTGAATGAAAGACAATTCTACTGTTCCGTAAAGACAATGCAACCAACAAACAGGTTACCAATTGTTTAGCCCACAATTTTGAGAATCCAAGTATCAGCAGTTTGCATGTTGAAATGGTGCCATTTAGGGTCGAAGGAAAAAAGAACAGTTGAATTGACCGATCTCGCTTTATTGGCCGAAGATGGGTCAAGACATCGGATCCAAAATCAGAACTGTCCCAGGTGTATCAAAAGGAAAAAGGAACCAGGAAAAAAGGTGACCATTAGTTACATACAGACAAAGTCGCCCTGATGGAAACTTGTCTGTATGGACTTTTTGTCCATTGAACCGACAGTACCTGTCACAAAAGATGTTTTTCTGGTCATAACAGACACTTTATAAGTATGCACACGTATTCCAACTCGTGATAAAAGGCTTAACTGTTGCTAAATTCTGTGGTGAGCAGTTTCTTCTTCATTATGGGTTCCCCCGAGAGGTTCACAGCGACCAAGGCCGTGATTTTGAGTCAAAGTCAACAAAAGAGTTTGTGGGGCTTGGTTCGGCATAAAAAGTGGGAGAGAACAAGCCTTACATTAGGGGTAACCCTGTGGGAGCGCTACAACCGGTACGTTAGTTAGTATGTTGGCACGCTAAGGACATGAAAAGATAGTGGCTAGCCGAATATGGTGCGAACCCTCTCACACATGCGGGCTATAATTGCACACGGAGTGATGTACTGGGGTTATCGCCTATGAATTAATGTTTGGAACGTCAAAACCGAGACTTCCCATAGACCTAGCGTTTTGGTCTTACCAGTCAAAACAAGTAAGGGCCATGTCAATCTCACGTATGTACGCAACCTTAAATCTATAGAGAGAGCTATCAGTTAGCATCGACATGCCAACGAAGGGTTGTATGCCAAAACAAACGCAGCTTTTGATATGAGAGTAAGGGAGTCAAACACTTGATATTGGCGACAGAGTTCTTGTGCGCAATCTCCGCTTGTGGCGGAACACACACTATCTGACGGTGGGAGTCCACCATTTATGTTGTCAAAAGAGAGTGGGATATGCCTGTGTACACAGAGTCTGTTCCGAGGGTAGGAAGGACCCTTTCTTCGCAATCATCGGTGATTGTTACTCCAATGGGGGATTTCTGTTTGAGGAGTGAGGAATTGGGTATACAGTAAAAAAAAAAAAAAAGTTTGATTTACCAAAATAAACAAATATTATTTACTCAGAAGGAAGGACGGTATATGTGGAAAAGAAAAACAACATCCCAATTATGTCGATAATAAGAAATATGATAAATAAATAATAATGTAATAAAATAAATAACGAAGCATTGTCCAAATATAAAAAAGTAAATATTGAAATACATTCATTTTGAACATGAAAATTAAGGTAAATTAGTTAGTTTATGTTGCTAATGATATGGCATGTTTTTATTTTTAAAGGGGCAGTGTACAATGAAAAAAATAGCCAAAAGAATAGAAGCATTGGACCAGGTTGTAACAGGAGTGCCAATTTACACTTATATATATGGGTCTCCCTCCCTGTGGGTTTCCCTAGTTCTCCCCAAGGTTTCTCACTTTTTCCCACTGGGTTTTTTAAGAGTTTTTCCTTGTCGATGCAGGAGGGTCTTGTTGGACAGTTAGTGTCCAACAGAAAGGATTGGTGATGATCAGGACACTTTAGCATTCTACAACATGTATGGACATTTTCTTGTGTGCTTTATATTCTTCATGTGTTTTAACTGTTGATTCTCTGATCTGTGTTGGTGATTTCAATGGTTTTGTTAAGTCCTCTGAGATGACTTCTGTTGTAACCTAAGGCTATACAAGAATAAATTGTATTGTATTTGTAACCCGCCTGGTTAAAAGGGTTTATTATAATTTATGTAGAAACGTTTATTTTACATTTTTATTTTGAAAACCGGAAGTTTTATTTTGCCGTAAAACCGGAAGTAGTATGCAAAACCGCAGTTAGCTTTATGGCGCTCACTTGACGAACTGCTCTACTTTCCCCTCTTGCATGTTGGTTGATAAAAACACATCGTAAGGTATGAAAACCGAATCAGGATGTAATTGAAAAGTATTCATTGTGAAGTAAATGTTCTAATGTGGTTATAACTC